CCTTTCCCTTCTTCACTATCGCCTTTCGACTTGTGGTAAGGAATTTCCGTGTGAAACCCAAACTGCTTTGGCAATACCCGTTTTGGTAAACCACATTGTTATTAATTCTTTTTCATGACTCAGTATCTGATGCATTTTCATCATCCAAGCAGCATAGATTGACTTTATTACCAATGTGCGTAAATCTATAGTGGAAGCTATCTCCTCTGTAGATTCGCTCTTGCCAACTGCTCCTGCAATTTTATTTGCAAACCACTGCTGGAATTCATTTTTAATGATCTCTTTCTACTTAGCGTTGACTGTCATATTGAGCGTCTGTAATTCATCCGTGCAGCTATCTGGAACATAAACAGACACCACTCCACTGTCCACTTTTTTCGAATATTGACAGTCCGGTGTGCAGCAAACAAGTCAATTATTAACAGTTGTTTTTGATTAGTGTCAATCGCTGTTTGTTTTTTTCCACATACCGTAGCATTGAATCGCTAGTACTCCAAAAGGGTGTGCCATATGTACCAATCCTGCGGAAATAGAACATTTGGGTGGCACCTTCCTGTCGAGCCCTGATATATTACTTGTGGAGGCAACATATCTCCATTCATTGTGCATGCAAGGAGAGCAGTGTTCTGTCTTTTATCGTCGATTCCCTTGATTGGCACTTGATTTTTCTCCCTGTTGGGGCATCCTGCAATTCCTAGACAGTACTACCTGTACAGCCGTCTGATTCCAATTAATTATAAGTTTGTCTGGAATATTTAAAAAAGCGTTCCGTTCGGTCGCGATCTCATGGCTGTACCAAAGGTAGGCTTAGCAAGGGGCTTGTTGGCTTAGCACCCAGTCTAGTTTGAAATTCCCGCTAACATCGTACGGAAAATCATGGTACACTGGATAGGCCAGGGATTTTAACTACCAATTTTACCCCGGTTATTTCCCACGCTACAAATTCCTCGCAAGTATACCCCATAAATGCTGCAACTACCCCCATATTTCTCACACTTGTGCTACCAATCCCTCGAAAATATATCCCGTAAATGCGGCACCTCCCCATATAGAAATATTTAAGAGTGAGCCTCCCCTCCCCTGGCCTGACTTGGTTCATGTTCTATTGAACACAGTCTCTATTTTCCTTTGTGTCTGATCACTATTTCAAAGTACTAGTAATAAGTACAATTCATAACAATTTATGAAATTATTTATGTAATTAGTTATCAAAATTTGGCCTAGCAAATTGTAATTGTGTCCAATGGAGCATTGCCCGACGATGTCTTTGTAAGTAACAAGTTATTCACTACAAATATTAATAGGCCTGAGATTTAGGCATCATTGATTTATAATGTTCACTTTGTTAACTAGACACAGACTTAAAGTATGAGACATTTGTGTTTTGTTTCTGTAATTGATTGATGGTCATAATTTGTTAATGCTTTTTGTTGGTTTCTTTCTTTTTAGAAGCACTACAGAGTCTACAAAGTGGACAAGGGCAGCATGTTGTCATGGTAACACAAGAAGGTGACCAAGAATCTGCCCAGCAGCAGGTGTTGATGGTTGCCATGCAGAATGATGCCAACGTGAGTGGTGCTCAAGGAGTTGGTCCACTGACCTTTTCAGACCCTGTCAACATGGTTGGTGGAAATGTGGTCTACCAGACTACTAACCTACCACACCTTGTGCCGGTCTCCCAATCAACACAGGTACGTTATTTAGTGCAAGCTTCCCTGCCTGAAAAAAGTTTTAACATTGAATAGACTGAATTGATCACCAAAGTTGGCCAAGTGGGTATTAAAATTTGTTTGCATTGCATTGAACGGGGTCGAAAGTGGCTCTATTAAATCTCCTAAAATGTAATGAAGTTACTGAAGATACTTTTTATAACAATGTATACATTTTTAATGAAACATAGATTCATGAGATTAAGGCTGATTTGATTTAAATTTCCATTGAGACTAAAAATATGAAGAATTTCTAGAAACCTTCTAGGCCCGTCGCTAGCGGGACTTACCACATTCAGCACTGACTAAGGTGTTCGCTGTTGATTTAGAGGTACATATTCAGCTTAAACACTGTCACCAAGTCATTTTGTTGTAATTTCTGTATGAAATATTTAAACTATTGGACAAACTTAAATTGCTGAATTGTAGAATAAGATGTTTCTTTTGACTACGATGGCTAATGAGTCAGAAGAACGTTGTTTGACTCTTTAGTCTAGGACTAGGCCCGTGTTCAAGTTATTTTACGATGAAATGTACAAATAAATAATTTTAAAGACTTTAAAGATTAGTGTGTAAAAACACTGCCACCTAGCGGTTTGTTTTGATGTTATACCCACTATAACGGCTTTGGTTTAGTGACTAATTCAGTCTATTCTCACCTTTGAGAGCTATTGAAGATTCATCCAGCCATGAGCTTTCTATGTTTTTCGACTTTCACCCAAAGGCTTCATCTTCATCCTAGCTGGATGATCTACCTGGTATTTGAATAAGTACTCATAGTTTCGTTTTCTGTAATCAGATTTTTTTAAGCTTAACAGGTGATTAGCCCATAGGCAACCACCCTCTTCTGGAAGAAATTGGTTGCATTTTTCTCAATACAGAAAAGCACACAAATGAAAGCTTAAAGCCTGCTTAAAGAATATATTTTGTATTTAATGTTGTAGCATTTTTTAGTACCTAAATTTTAATAAGAATTCTACAAATGTACAGTATATCACCAGAAGTGTACATAAATTGATTGTGTTAAAAAAGTAAGTATATTTCTATGAGGTTACATATTGTTAACTGCACATGTCTGTAAATAAACACACATTACTTTCTATGATCTAGGACCAAACAACTACTCTGCAGGCTACAGACTCATCAGGTCAGGTGTACACCATCATCCAAACTCTAGATGGAGAAACACCAGTGACAGTATCTGAAGGACAGACAAGCCAGTCCCAGCCTACTTACACTGAGTTAGAAGTTGCACAGCCATCTGAGGGTGAAGGCAAGGGTGGAGAAGTTGTACATGTTGTTGATGTCCCCTCTGCAGATGGTACTGAGGAAGTTCAAACCCAGGTAGAGTTGTTGTTACAAAAGGTTTAAAAGCAGTAGTTTCGTTACTTGGAAGTACATTGTTTCAAAAATTCCCTTTTTGCTATTGTTTTTTTCCTTAAATGTGTTCTTCATTATTTAAAAACTATTTAAATTGTTTTAGCAGATTGTTATTGTACGAGAGGTTGATACTGAGGAAGGCAAGGGAATTCAAGATCACTCCGTTTATGACTTTTATGCTGGTGAGGATGATGATGCCCCAGTCACTACAGCAAGTAAATCCGACAAAGGCGACACTCCGAAGAAAGGCAAGAAGTTTGTTGTGCCTAAATTTGATGATGGACGTCTCATCGATCAGGTTTTTAATCGTGTGAAAAAATCACCCACAAGTCCACGCCAGCCAAAGGTTCACGAGTGCAACATGTGCGGCCGTATCTTTAGAACCTCAACACTTTTGCGAAACCATATCAATACCCATACTGGAACCAAGCCATACAAATGTCAGATGTGTGAAAAAGCATTTGGAACGTCTGGTGAATTGGGTCGACACATGAAGTACATCCACACTCACGAGAAACCACACAAGTGCCCATTGTGTGATTATATTAGTGTAGAGGCAAGCAAAATTAAGAGGCACATGCGCTCCCATACTGGTGAGAAACCATACAAATGTACTTTGTGCGAGTATGCCAGTACTGACAACTACAAGTTGAAGCGTCACATGCGCATCCATACTGGTGAGAAGCCATTTCGATGTGGTGAGTGTGACCAGTCTTTCTCGCAGAAGAGCAGTTTGAAGGAGCACATGTGGAAACACACTGGAAACAGACCTCAGCACAAGTGCGAGTTCTGCGAAACCAGCTTCGGACGTGTAGCTGATATGAAGACGCACATCAAGAAGATGCACACACAAGGAGAAGCTTTGATTTGCAAGTTCTGTGAAAATGGATTCACCGATCGCTACAGCTATACTCAGCACATCAAAATGCATCGTGGGGAGAAAATTTTCAAGTGTGGTGAATGTGGATATATGGCTCCCCAGAAGCGCCATTTAATGGTTCACATGAGAGTTCATACTGGCGAGCGACCGTACCAATGTACCGACTGTGATGAGAGCTTCAAGCATCGACAGACTTGCATCAATCATGCTAGAATTAAGCATGGTCATATTTTAGAATTCCCGGATTTGAAGCGAAAAAGATCAGAGTCAGAAGAGGATTCACCATCCAAGCGTGTGTCGCGCAGACAGAAGATGATCATAATGGGTGCTGTTGGTGGCCAAGAAGGTGCTGATAGCCAAAGTATCCCTCCAGAGGTTGTTGAGAATGCTATTGGCAGAGTTCTTCAGGAAACAGAGGGAATGAATGTGGAAGGTGGTGTACCAGTAACAATTTTGACTGTCACTCAAGGACCTGATGGATCGATGCAGCAAGTTGAGCAAACCCTACATGTTGTTGATGGACAGTTAACGGCAATTGAAGGTGATAACTCGGCTAACATTGAAGCTGGAACAGAAGCTGCCCAAATAACCAGTGACCAAGTGATGCAGTTGGAGCAGATACAGCAGCAGATTCAGCAAGGAGAAGACGGTGGCATTTCTCAGACGGAACAGGCTGTTGCCAAGCAATCTCAGGTCGAATCCCAGGATCAGGGAGGTATGCATATTGTGATGGAAACTGAGGACAGTAGCCAACAACAGGAGGCGGAAGATACGTTGACTCAGCAACAACAGACAACATCTGAACAAACAGTGGCGCAAGAGGAAGCAACTGAAGAAGTAGCTGCTCCAGAAGTAAGTATACCACAACAGCATGAGGAACCACAAGGCACATCTAGTCTCGCTGTGCAAGAGGTAGCAGAAGTAGGTATTGAGCAGCCAACAGAAGAGGAAGTTGAAGAAGGAGATGGTGATAACACCATTTATCTATTTGTTGAAGAACAATGAACAGTTGATAACATCTCATCATTTACTGTTGCCCTCCCTAGTGTTTTTCAGCAGCAAGGTGTGTATAAATATTTTAACAAAATAGATGTGTGCTTAGAAATTAAAGGGCCAAATTTTAAAAATGATATGAGATATCTGTTATGCTGTTTTGTTTTTTTTTTGGGTGGGGGAGGTGGAATTTTATTGTCATTTGCTAGTGATTGGTTTTTTTTATGGCTGTGATAATGTTTTGTTTTATTATATTATCTAGTTTGAATTAATTACTAAAAATTAAATGAATTTGTAAAAAGTGTTTTATGTTAATGTAATACATAGTACAATAGTTACACTCTACAGTTTTAGAGCTTCCACTTTCTTTAAGTGCTTATTATTTACTTGGCATTGTTCATGTGGAGGTTACTGTGCATGTTGACATGCATGTCTTGGGGTCTTGCAACAATTTTAATTTTTATGCTTAATCAAAATATAATATTTGGTTTAAGCATGGCTTCTACTTCTATTTTGTGTATATACGTTTTTAGTGATTGTTTTTATTAGGCCAATAGACTATTAGAGTCTATCCTCATAAAGTTTTTTTTTTTTATATCTGTGAATATATCTGTGTATAATGCCTATACATGGTCTCAATTCACAGGTACTTGTTACAAGAAACTAGTGCAAATTATTCTAATGAAAAGCCTTATGATTTTACATGGGTTTGTTTTACCGTGTGTTGTCTTTTCTTTGGTAATAATTATAATCAGTAATAATACATTACGCCTCAGAAAACTCAATAGAACCTATCTTTGCGTGTACAGTATAAATGTTTCATTAACTATAGAAACACAAAGAAGTACTGTACTTGTTGTGAACAGTTGTTTAGGTTTTTGTTTAGATTGAATGATGGCTATATGCATTCCAAATATTTTTTTTTTTCAGTTTAGGTAATATAAGATTCTTCTACAATAAAACACCAGCACATGTATCATTTTGATGTACTAAATGTAATGTAAAGGTTCTTGTCAAATAAGTGCAGTTTTTTCAGCCACCGAACTATCCAGGTTGTTCTTAAGGTTTGTGTGTTGGTTACTCTTTGGGACTCAACAGTTACAGTGGGTCTTTAAAATATTTGAGCAATTATTAATCTTAAAATCTTAAAAGGAAAATTTAAAAAAAATGTGATTGAGATAATTTTTGCATTGAATTCTTTGATAATTGTACACATAGAGATATACTGTAGTTAAATGTCATGCCATCAACCCTACCCACAGCTGTATTGCAAAATGTATCTATCATAATTAAATTGTCTTATACTGTAATGATGAAATAAAGAACATCTGATATGGTTACCATTTAATAAGGTATTTATTAATTTTGTAGGTAGTCTTTGTGATGAATTTTATTTAGTTTAAATGGTAGCGGATTACTGTATTTACAGTATGTCAATATGTTTTGGGACAGATCAATGATGGATACAGATACCATACCACCAGTTCTACTTGTGAAAAAAATGTGTTTGAAATAGTGTTTTGGTTACGTAATGTATGGCTAGCAGTGTGCATTAATGTTAACATTTCATTTCATTTATTCATCTCATTATATTATAACAGAATCAAATGACAATAAAAGTATGACAAGATTTCAAACAGCACACTGAATCAGACTGCAGTATGGGTCTCCTACATTCAAACGATACTAAATAGTCAAAAGAAATTCAAGAAATAAATAAGCCTGTCTGCCAGAGAAAATAAATTTAAAAGCGTGGGTGGAATTCTGTTTTTATTTTTAAAATGGATATCTGTAAAACAACAAAACTAACAAATATTAATACAAATAAATACATGGTCGTGCTATAGCCTACATGATTTTAAAAGATTCCAAATTTTTTATTGGCATAATGCTAGAGAAAAAAAATTAAAACAAATAGTTTCTTTGTCATGACCTGAAATAAAAACTGCTTTGAATTGGCACACAGTAATTTTGTATGTTTAAATTTACAAAATATTTCCTGTTACTGTAATTATCAGAGAGGCCCTAGTTAAATAATACTGTAATACTTGCTGAAAGGTGGAGTACAATAGAACATGCACAGATAATTATAAAGAGGGAGCTTCCACTGTTTCTATTGCCATTCATTTTATTGTAAATCCTGCTACCTGATATATTGTACTTGACATAACTTCAGTCAACATCGAAAACTATACTATACTGCAAGCTGAGAATTGTAGTAGGACAGGACAGGTGTTCCAACATCTGTAACTCATTGTGAACAATACGTTCTAAACGTACAATGCCCCAAAAGCGACATTTGAAAAAAATATATAGGCCCTAAAATATGCGATTCTAAAGAAATTTAAAATTTAATCGTTAAGATTTTAGACTACAGATGGTCATACAATATGAACGGTATGACGCGTCAGATTCGATTCAAATCAGAGACCTCTTTTTTCATACAACTATGATAAGGAACTGTAATGGTTGAGTCCAGCCACACCCCTAATAATAAATTAACTCATAAGTCCAAGAATGCACTGAGGCTTTTTTTAAAATTTTCCTTTGAATTTGAATTCACAACATACGGTTCAGTTATGAAAGAGCTATTATATTTTTTTTAGCATCATGCCCATCCAATAGGCCTACTGGGTGCTCCGATACACAAGACGGCAAACAACTTTGAATACAATGAAGAGTGTTTCCAATATTTAAGACTAAATAATGAATAGAATGATATTTATTTTAAATATACCAGAATCATGCAATTATCTAGAAAGCCCTTTGATACGAAATGTCGACAGTAGCCCGAGTTCGTCGTTACATTTTCAATGCACACAGTCGGATAGACTTGCCACAAGTCTCTAATTTATGGATTTTTCGTAGTACATTAGCGCATTTCGGAAAGCGCCAGCAGCGTCAGTTTATGTTGAGAAACTTTTTTGATGAGAATTAGAATAATCCCAGAAAAAGTATACTATCGAACGCCATGCAAATAAGTAATATGGAACGCCATTTGTGCCAAAATCGATTTATTCTTAAGCATTTCAACTGATTAAGACAAAGATTAGGGACTGGAACCCAGTCTAACAGTCGGACAACAGTAATTATCTACAAATGATCAGTACATTCTCGACATCATGAAAATAGGCCTATCATAAATCTAGAAAATTACGTTATAGGCTTATACATGCACGGAAGTGGAAAGTTTAACCTAAAAGCTTGATGTAGGCCTATGTTTCATGTTGTTTGTTGAATGGTCTTTAATGATATAGTACAGTATTCTAATATGACTACAAAATAAGGAACAGGGCCGGCTTTTCTTGCATTCTTTCCGATGATACAAAAATCTGCGTAGACATTAGGCCCTATATATTTACTGCCCCCCCCCCCGTTCTGTCGGACATGAGGAAGAACACTTTGACACCTTCATAGTTCAGACCCATTTATATTTCATTAGGCCTAAATCATAAGGAATTCCACTATTTAAATGCTTAGATGGGTACGAGAATGCGAGAATTTTTATTGACTGTCAATCTCATATAGGCCTATCCAAATTTTTGGAAATTATACTTTTTATGCATGCATATACCGACGTGGGAATCTTGATTCATGTTTGTTGAAAGGTCTTTAAAAATATTACAGTCTAATATGACTACAACATCCTGATTGTTTATCAATATCATTATACACATGTTAGATCCAATTTCCAAAAAAAATACGTACTTGGAAAATTTACCGTAACCATTAATAATCTTAACGAATAATATGGTGCTAAAATTCATCTTATGATCATAACTTTTAAGTTGTAACTTTTAAAAGGAAAAATAATAATTCTTTCAATAACTGTACTCTGACCCTTACCAAACTTGATATTATTGTACCGTCACCAGCTGGGAAAGAAATTAAATATGCAATGTTTTCTGTGATTGGTTGATTGCCAACATTTCAATGCTTAATGGACGGATACAATGCGTAAAAAAGGTAACGACGATAATTTCATATTTCGAAAAATTGTTTGGAGTATATGATCCCTTCCCATTCCCATGATAGACTACATCCACAGAGTGCCCTAGGATAAAATCTCAAAAATTGATAAATTGCGTTTTTCCGAATCACGACAGACTGAGTAGATTACGTTCCGCAAACTATGGTCCACGGCCCAAATTTAGGCCGCAAAACATTTTTGGAGGGCCGCGAAACCGTCTAAAAATTGGGGGAAAAAAAATAACAAAGAGACGTTCTATCATGGAGAAAATACTTTTTAATAAAGCCGCTTCATTGTTACAGCGAATGCGTCGCTTGCACACGCCGCTAAAGTGCCATATGATGCGTGCTACTTGAGTTATAAGCGGTTTTTGTGTCTATGCCCCCTCGGAGCTAGACACTATGTTATCTAGTATTAACCCTGTAAGATCGAGTAAACCTGGTATGGAGGAATGATGGGGTGAGTCATGAGCTAAAGATAAAAATCAATACAAGACCAGTCCTAGCAGATCACTAAAACAACACCACACATTTCTTGATAACCAAATGCCCATGCAGATACTTCATTAGGCCTACTAAACATAGTACCTGTATAGTAAGGTAGTCTTTCAAAGTTGCAGAGTAACAGAGCAGGGACTGATCCACCAAAAGAGAGAGAGAGAGAGAGAGAGGGGGGGGGGGGTGGGGAGAGAGAGGGGGAGAAGAAAGAAAAAAGAGAAAAGATCATATCTAGGTCTATTTATTACTACAGTACTTCAGTAATTGGTGTTGGTTTTTGTTGATTACGCTGGCGCGCATCAACAAGGCTCGTGGTGCAGGAAACGTGTTTACGAATTATCGAATATATTTTTCACGACTCCATAACAATACAATACAATAGCAACACAATCTAATTCTTTAGATTAGAATGCCGTGTACGACTGTCAGCCACACTAAGTGTTACTTAGTGTGGCTGAATCGTATTTGGTTGAATCATGGTAGGAAAAAAAAAACAATCAACAGTTTGTCGGGGAGAAACACAAATGTGCAGTGGCGGCTCTAATATATATATTTTCTGGGGGACTAGTTGTCCGACAGGGGGACTTGAGCTCGTAGGCTCGAGCTGGAGGAAGGGGTTGAGAGGGAGTTCCCCCTCCCAAATGAGATTTTTTTTTTTAAGAATATCAACCTCTGGATGGCCGAAAATGGCACTCTCAGACTGTGACAAACATGTGTTGGCTTGGTGTGGGCCTATTTTTATATGTTTTATGGTCTGACTGCCCAACGAGCTGTCCGGAGGGGAGGGGTTTGACCTGTCCGATGGGGTCCAGGGGCGAAGCTCCCTTGGAAGTACCGTAGTGCACTCCGAACGTTTTTAGGAATATTTTAAGAGGATAAAGTAAAAATTGCAATAGACGCATCATAATAATATAAACCTAACAATGAGTATATATACACAGGGCCGGCGGAACGTTTTTCCAAGTGGGGAGCCACTAGTAAGATGAATGGGAATATAAATCATGGGGATCTGGGCTCAAATTTAGGGGTGGGGTCTAAATGTTTCCCAAAAACCCCAAAAAGGAAGAGGGATCCGGGAGTCCTCCCCGGGAAAATGTTGATTCTAGATGGTGGGAAATGAGCTTTCCCGACTTTAATGACTTTTAAGTTCTTCAAAATTCAAGGTTTTCCCCCTCACATTTCGTATTTTTTGGTGAAAAGGGAGGCATAGTTAGTAAACCCTGGGTTTATAGAATCTCTACCCTAGCCAATGGCTTCATCGGCACACCTGCTTAATTGATTTATTTTATATATATTTAGGCTATACTTAATATTTGTACTACATGGATATAATATCTGAAATAAAAGTTGATTGGAAAGTTGTTTGATTTAAAATTCACAAACAGTACCGTAACTCATGTCGTTGCTCTTCTTCCGATTCCGTATTCATTTTCAGTCTCTCGGTATTCATTTGCGTGATCCCAGGAAATAATTTGTATTGCCTAGCAACAACAAGCCTTAGAATGTTAACTCTGTGTACAAGGGGCGGGGGAGGGGTCATTTTTGAATTTCTTTTTGATGTACTGTGTGTTCGTAAGTTTTAAACTTCATTCTACCTACTCAGTTTTTTTTTATAGCATTCGTTGAAATAATAAAATAATAATTCGTTAATTAAAAAGTAATAATTAAAATAATAGCTCTTTAGTGTAATTTTGAAATAACAAAATTCAGTCCAATAGATTTAGGCCTATTCGCCATTTGTTGAACAACATTGGAATTACGTAATATTGCATTAATTTTTTGTCTATTTTTCTTTGGTTTAGGTAGGTGGCATTTCTGACAGAAAAAGTTGGAATTCGCCAGACCACAAGGCACTGCAATCACTTTATATTTAAACAAATATTT